TCCAGATATGGTCGTCCTGTGGCTCCTTCCTTCCTCCCTCCCCTTCTCCCTCCTTTCCTTCCTGAGACAGTCTTACAATTTAGCCTTCTCTGGCCTGGTATTAACTGTGTAGACCAAGCTGGCCCTAAACTCAGAGATCCCACCACATCCTCATATGCTAAGTGGTACATTTCTGTCAGTGTAAGAAACATTTTTGAGGTAAATTAACTCATTTTATGATTCGAGTGGGGAGTGAGAGGTTTAGGGATTTTCGTTGGTTTGATCTTGTTTTATGATTCTTTATTTCAAAACCTTAAGAAGTAAAATTATGTAGACTGAAGCACTAATGTAAACGTGCCCCCAAGGACAGCTGAAATTAATTTTTAAATCGTTTGTACTTTGAAGCATGAAATTTTGACATTAGAAAACAGGATATTGAACTATGACCATGTATCTAGTATTTTAAATATAAATTTGAAATTAAATAATTTCCTGAAATTCTCAATGGTAAAAAATGTTTTCCAGTCTAAGTTGAAAGGAACATTTTATTTCATAGCAGAAGAACAAAGGTATAGTCGCTGTTTGTCAGGCAATTACAGCAGTGACTCTCTCACTGTGAAAATCCAGAATCATTGTCATTTCACCTTCTTGCTGTGGCTTTCTTTTGGGTTGTGCATTCTTTGTCTTTACAGTAAATACAGAACAATTTATTTGTTTATTTGGCATACCTATCTGTGAGTGAACTCTTTTTCCTCCAAGCCAGTTTTTCTTTTTTCATTGTCTCCCAAGCCCAGGGCCCACATTCCAAACTCCTTCATAGCCAACAAGTGTCCTAAACACCTCCCTTCTTCTCTCCCTTCCGCCCTCCCTCCCAACGGTCTCCCTTTGTAGCCTTCCCTGGCTTGAGTTCCCCACAGTTGCCCTCCCCTAGTCTCACCCCCACTTCCTTCAGCACTTGTGGGCCTTTGGCAGAACTCTACCCAAACTCACCCACAGCAGTCCAGAAGGTGCTGCTGGGGGGTTCCTTCTCCCCATTCCTCTGACTTGAAGACCTGCAGCGGTTCTTGGTGATGAGGTCTAAGCACTCTAAGGATTCCTTTCAAAGCCTTTGGTGTTCTAGGCTCACCAGGAAGCATTATTTCTTGGTGTTGCTCACCACTTGGAAGGCTACCTGCAATCTGTAGCTCTACTGTAAACACAGGTGTGACCCTCTCACTGCTTCCTGAAGCTGCTTGCTCCAGGCTGCCCCACCCCTTCAGCTCCCCATTCACAAGCCTGCTGGTCTAGGTGTGGCTTCTTCCAGGAACCTGCTCATTTCACTCTGCTTGGCCACTCTAGCAGAACCCACCTCTCAGTGTGCTTCTATGGTGCCACACTTCCTGCCTTCCGGTGTATATATGCGACCCTCAACTAGATTGTGCATTCTTTGAGGGGAGGTAGAATCTAAAGATTAACTCCTTATCCTAAGAGCCCAAGGCTTAACTCCTCGAGTTGTGTTGACCTCACCTAAATAATAAGATGAATTGCCAAAAAAGAAAATCTAGCATCTAATTACTGTGAAATAAATAAAACTGAATTTTTTATTATCAACTGATCATATAAGCTTGCTTTGTTTCTTATTATAGGAAAATGATGTTATAGCAATCCTATTCCTAAACTGTTGAGAGCGTCATGTACGTATCTGGTCACGCACATGGCCACTCTCCTCAACTTAGCATTTTGAAGTATATTATAAGAAAAGCACAAGTCAGTGAAAGCTGAGAAAACATTGACTCCAGAAGAGAGACTAAGGACCCTGACCTTGACTGGGAGCAGCAAGAGGCAGGGGAGCCTTTCCTGAGAGAGAGAGAGAGAGAGAGAGAGAGAGAGAGAGAGAGAGAGACAGAGAGAGACAGAGACTGACTGTGGCTTTGGTTAGGAGCCAGTCCAGAGCTTAGTCATATCTGCAATGCTGGACTCCTAGGGATTCAGGCTAGGTCTCCATGGAGCCCTGGCACCTGAGTTTCTAAGGTAATCTACTAGGTCATTCTTACTATTAGCCAAATTTAGAAACCTCTATATTGAAGGAAGCCGATGCACTATCTGGGGCTCACAGTCTGAGGCTCTAGCTGAATTTGGTAGATGGTTTTAGAAAAGGAGTTTTTGCTTTAGAATAGAAAAACCATAGAGTCCTTGCTTCTTCTCCAGCCTAAGAATGGAGAAATTTCGTTTCTAGTCCTGGCAAGGTGATTCCTATCGTATAATGGCTTCTGTGCCTCTGCCAACACCAAGCTTTAATTTCGGTATAGGGATGCTGTGATCTGTGGGCGGTGACTACTCAAGACATCCATTTAAGGAGCCACATCAGTCACATCCTGGACTACATGGAGTAACACAACCGGCTATTTGGTGGGTACCATGGTGTCACTTATTTTCCCAAGCCACAGAACCTTCTGGTGTAAATTGTCCCCAAGCACAGTGGCAGAATACTAAATTCGGCTCTGTCTTAAAAACACCAGCTTTTTATTTTCAGCCCATTGCTGGATAAAGTGCTACTTCTGTTTTATAATAGAATCTTGACTCTGAGCATATCCTGACCTTAAAAGCTGGACGTTTAGGAGTAGCAGTGGGCAAGAGATCTACCTTCAGACAGAGACCGAATCATCACACACAGGCAAATTCCTCTACCCTGTGCCAGCTCCTCAGGGAATCATGGCTGCCAGTCTGCTGAGAACATTTCAGTCTATGAGTAGGAGATGCAAAAGAACCCAGTTGCTTTATTAGGTAACTATGGTGATAATTTTTAGAGTTGTGTGCTGTGGGTTAATGCGCTTGTACACTATAAAGATTTGTCACTCATATTGGTTTAGTAAAAGGCTGATTGGTCAGTAGCCAGGTGTTGCGGGAGGTCCTTCCGCTCCTCCAGCCTATAGTCGCTGAGATAACAGCCCATTGGGGTGTGGTCTCTCTCCCTTTAAAAAGCGGCCACTTCCCTCTCCTCTCTCTCTTCACTCCCTTCCTGGTTGTGCAGAGGGCTGTTGTCTGGGACCGTGATCTGTAAGTTTTTTCCCCTTTAAATAAATACCACCCTATTAATCATAATTCCAAACTGGTGTGGCATTGTTTGTGACTTACGCCTACAGCCAGGCAGGAAGTATAGGCATGGCGACCAGACTAGGAGAATTCTGGGAAGAGGAAAGGTAGAGACACAGTCACCAGCCAGACTCAGAGGAAGCAAGATGAGAATGCTGCCCTGAGAAAAGGTGCCAAGCCACGTGACTGAACATAAACAAGAATTAGGAGTTACCTGAGCGAATAGGCAAACAGTTTATAATTAAGTCTCTGTGTGTTTCTTCGGGACTGAACAGCTGTAGGGCTGCTATCAAGAGTCCTGTATTATGCTGATACTCTTAGAAGAGCCACAAAGGCAAGAAAAACAGACAACACAACTAAGCCATCATCAGTTAATCACACTGATAGGAGAAGTACCTAACACAGAGACTGTACAGTCTCCTGCCCCAAAGAAGGTGGGTCTGCTTTTCAGCATACGCTCTCTGCTACTGGAAGCAATGGGAGACTGCCTCGCAGGGAGGGGAGTGCTAAAGACAATACCTCCTAGTTAGATGCTAGTTAACTATTTTCCTAAGAACCCTTTAACTATAAACACAGTCAGACATTTTATTTTTTTAATTTTATTGAACTATTCTTAACAACTCACATTTTAAAAGAATGTCAGATATCTTGAGCACCATTTAGAAAATCGCTATGCTAACCCGAATGAAGATACTCATTTGCATGCTAATCAAGAGTACAACAGAAGACAGAGCTAGGAAATAACATTGACTCTTATTTTGTAGTGTTTATTAGGACACCTCCAAAAGAAAAAAAAAATTTTTACCCTGGGAGTAAATTGAGTGTGTCATGAGAGAAACATATGTGGCCTTAGACATTGCCAGAAAGAACAGAACAAAGGTTGGGTCCTGGATTACTAAATTTTAGAGTACACTGAGCATATCATCAGAAATGTTTAAGCATAATGTCCTGACCTAACGTCTGGATAGCCATTCGCCACATACCTGTTTGCTCATGAGGTGTGTCCTGAGTGTCTATTCTGTATTCTGCTCTAGGTGGTCACTACCTGCTTAATGCTACTTAGGAGGCAGAGTGACGATGCTACCTTAGTCCCTAATAAGAACCATCAGAACTTTCTTTGCTATCTCAGGACTTGGGGAAAAAAAGAAAAGAGACTTCAAAAATTTGAAAAAGCCTTCAAATTGCTTGCTTTAAAAAGATAGCACCTGACACACAGTAGACAGTTACAGCACAGCAGGGCAGGGTGTTCAAGGGGGATGGGTCAGAGCTTGCGGAATGGCTGCTCGGCATTCCTTGAAAACTTCCTAGCTTGAGAATTAGTTAAATAAAATCTTGAGATCTTAAAGTGTCTCAGCTTTCAGGTTGGCAGTGCTGGCGCACATCTTTGATCCCAGAACTTGTGAGGCAGAGGCAGGCAGATCTCTGTGAGTTCTAGGCCAGCCTGGTCTATAGAGCTAGTTCCAGGACACTAGGGCTACACAGAGAAACCCTGTCTCGAAAAATCAAAAAGATAAAACGTGTCTCTGCTTTCAATAGCTCTAAAGTTGGTTCATTGCAGAGCACAAAGTGTTTCTCCAATTTGACAGATAAATTCATGCTGGGTTGATTTTTTTTTAAGTCACAATTAATAGTTTTGTTTATAAAGCTCACTGATTCTTTGATTTGTAATTTTTATGTTTTTATCTGTAGTTCTTAAAATAAGTTTCTCAGTACCAAGAAAAAACACATACATTAAGGGAGCAACAGAATGACTCCACCTCAGAGTACTGCAAACCAAACCTTGTCCCCTCTGATTCTAATCGTGTTACTATGAATCTTCATATTCCAGGTGGCTCTTCTTATAGTAGGCCTCTAAGAGCAAGCTCATTGAGAAGTCATATTACAGTTCTGGCCTGACATTTTAAAGAGTGTCTACTTTCAAAAAAGGCCCAAGTAAACAAATGGTTTTCCCGAAGACGAAACTTTTACCACCACATGAAGAGTATATATTTGCCGCTGAAGTGTCATCTAGTTTCGTTATCTGTACCTAAATATTCTAGCTGTGAGAAGAACCCCTAATTTTGATAAAGGAAGTCTGTAAAAACGCTGGCACAAGTACAAGCATACCCTATGAGTGCTCTCTGAAGGAAAGCTGGCTTTCTCTGGGATTCAGGATATGCATGAACTCCGTGTTTTCCTCAGCCATAAGTACAGTTGGCTGCATTTCCGTGGATCCAGAGGCAAATCTGGGCGTACTTGAGCGGAGTGATGCGTACGGCCACGTTAAAGTCCTTCTGAACCCCGTGCGCATCCACCCACTGGTGGCCTGAGTAGACCGCGATGATCTTGCGCTTCCAGGTTTTTTTGCCTGGCTCTTTGAGCCTCAGGTAGATCCCAGAGCCCGTGGAGCCTGCCTCAGCATCGCAGTACTGGTAGAGGAGGTCATTGGATTCCTCAGAAACGCTGCAAAAACGATACACCAACTGGTCCTCCCTGTCGTTGTCAAACCCGGAGAAGTGAATCCGGCCCCCTGGCAGCTTGCTGATGGTGGGGCTCACTCCTAGCTCCATATGCTGCTGTTTGTGTGCTCGCTTCAGTTCCAGGAGCGCATAGTCGTAGTCCAAGTCCGGGTCCCCACTCTCTCCTCTCGCCCAGCCTTTGGGGATGTGGGTGCTCTTGACGCGGGTCCACTGGAAGGAGGGTCTCCCTTGGGTGACCTTGGGACCTCGCCGGGACCCTTTTCCCTGTCTTTGGGTGGCACTCTCCTGAGGATGCTCCTGATCACTGTGACTTTGGCCACCATGCTCTGCTTCTCTCCGGCCCCTCTTGGAGCCTCTGCGTTTCTTGCGTCCTCCTTTGTTTCTTATCTTCAGCACCCCCACCCTGAGCTTTCTACTACCTTTGATATAGTCCTTCCCGTCGTGGACACAGTGGGCGGCCGTGAGCACGTGCTTGGGGGAGACGAAGGCGCCGCTGCAGCCAGTGGACAGCTTCACCGCTGTATTAAAAGGGAAATTGGTCAAAAACCTTTTGTCCAAGATGGTGAACCTGCTGTCCGTACCGTACACCTGCCTCCTTCTCCTACGGTGTGATCCTTTTATGCTGCTGTTTTGAGTGGGCTCTGGGACCAGATCTTGAACTTTCACTCTCGTTAAGGTTCGGGTGCCGTTCTCAAAGACCGTCTCATAGGAAAGGGAGTCTTCGAGTTGGGAAAGGCTGGGAGCCGGGAGCTCTTCCTGACATTCGATGCCGCACACTGTGGTCCCCTTCACCCCAGCATCTGCCTGGAACGCGGGGCTGGCGAGATGGACAGTTCTCTCGCTCACAACCCGGGGTATTCTGCTCAGGTGCCAGGAAAAATCTGATTCTGTTTCAAGCCCATCCGAGAGGGTCCATCCAGAGATGAACATTATCAACCAAAATAACGTATTTTCCATCTTGTTCTTCTGGTTTGCCCTTTAATAACATGAAAAGGAAAAAGTGGTTTTGTGATCTCTTTTAAACGTTACTTCCCTCTTTGCTTATGCTTTAGGTCCTCAGTGTGCCTCCAGCATGAGTAGATCCCACCTTAGACTTTCTGGAGAGCAGATCAACATTCTGCTAAGTGGACCCTTAACAGACATTCAAAATCAGCAAGTATTTTCTCACCCAGCTCTCCCTGTCAACTGTATAGATCCCTCTTCCCCTCGCCACCTGCTTCCCCAGACAGCTCAGGATGGGACAAAGTGAGTTCTGTTGAGAGGTCTCAGCCCCACAACCCCCCCCCAGATGTTTATTTCTCCATTGCTTATAGAGACAGAAGCAGCACCCTGCAGTTTCTTCTGGTACTTAACTCTTTAAAAGCAGGATCATAAATTCTTAACGTCTAAAAAGTAAATAACTATCAGAGTTTGGAAACTTTCACTGAAGTACAGAATTTCCCTGGTCCAGGGTTTGCAGAAGGAACTGATGTGGAGGTGTGCATCAGACAGATGATGCTACCAAGCAGTACAGAGTTAGAGACAGTTGAGTTCATATGCTGGTCACCTGCTCTGATTTTATATATGTATAGGTGCACACCACTGGTACACATACACACCCACACACACAATGAACACTAGACACATACAGACACACACAACACACACACATAACATATACACATAGAGACACACATATACAATACACACATAACATATACACATACAGACACACAACACACATATATAACATTCACACACACACACACACGCACACACACACATACACACACACACACACACACAGCACATATATAAACGCACAGAGGGAAGGGGAAAGGTGCCCGGGACTGGAGCCGAACCTAGGGCTCCATGCACGCTGGGCAAGCATCTACTATTTCTGCTGCTTTTACTTTTCATTTTGAGATTGTCTCAACTGCACAAATTGACCTTGCTTGAACTTTCTCTGTCACCCAAGCTGGCTGTGACCTTTGATGTGTGCATCTCAGCTTCCTGAGTAGCTGGGATTTAGGCCTTTGTCACCAGGCCTGGCCCCTCCTTTGATTTCTCTCCTTTAGAATATCTTTTATTTATTTGTTGACAATTCATTTTTTATTCATTGACAATGTCATACAAACAGACTGTGTATCTTAACCGTACCTAGCACTAAGGAGCCCCCTCCCGCACTGCCCCAACACCTCCCCGTCACACCTTCCTGTTGTCGCTTTTATTTTTGTAACACTAAGTCCAAGCAGGACTGTCTGCTGGGATGGCGACTGTCACTGCTGCCTGGTGTTTGGCAGCCCGTGTATAGGTAACCACAACTGCAGTGGGTTCCTTTGGTTTTTACAGACTCCATTGCCATGAAGAGAAAATATACAGTGATGAGTACCGTATGCTGAAGTAAGAAATATGTCCTAGACACTTTTTAAATAAAGTTTTGTTTGGAACCACCATTTATACAAAAGTTCTTTCAGACTGGAATTTTATGTGAAAATTGTTTCAGAATTTGTGGAGCATAGACGATGGTTCTTGATTTACCACTTGGAGAACGTGATGCTAAAATACTGTGGTCATTTTCATCATGGCTCTCATCCTCTAAGCTTTCCTGTCACTAAATAAGTTGCCAATATGTGGTACGATTCCCCTCTATTGTTTGCACAGTCTCCTCGTCTCCAGGTGCACTGCATCTAAGCATGTAAACATATGTACTTAATAGGGCTGAGGCTCACGGGCAACAGCTTGCGGCATTCCTTGGAGCCATTCTGAACCTCTCTGTTTGTTTGTTTGAGACAAGGTTTTGCTGCGTAGCTGTGGCTTGCCTGGAACTTGCTACACAGACCAGGCTGGCCTCAAACTTACAAAGATCTGCCTTCCTCTGCCTCCCTAGTACTGTGATTAAAGGTGTGTGCTACCATGTTCTGCTCAAGAGAGTTTTCAGATTTGAGATACAACTATTTTTTTTTTCCATTCTGCTGGTGCTCGGAATTGAACTCAGCACATGCTAGGCAAATGTCCTATCACTGAGCCCATTTAAAATTGTATTGGAGATAAGATCTCACTTTGTAGCCCAGGATTACTTTGAAGTCATAATCTTTCTGCCTCAGCCAAACAAGAGAAGTGGATGACAGGCATGTGCCCCCAGGCCCAACTACAAATTTCTTTAAAGTTGCTTTTGAAAGTTAGCCCATAATGACCACTATCCATTATGCACTTAGTACTGCTGTATCAAAGACTGATAGTCATCAGTAGCCACGGCAGGATACATGAAATCTTTTGACATGTGATTATCTACACTGTAATAACCAACAGGCATTCTTAGGCAAAATCCAAGCTAATACTCCATCCATCCTATGGAATTCTTTCCCAGCTAGGTTTTTTTTTTCTTTTCTCATGCTTTTAGTTGTTGTGGAATATTAATTTAAGATTTGTTGCACTCGTTTATGCTGTGGAATATTTGTTTAGTGATACAAAATCCAAAATACAAAATCCAACCTTTGTTGGATTAAATAAAATTAAACTGGGGTCAGGAGGCTGAGTCAGCAGCCAGCTGGCAGGAAGTGGTAAGGAGGAACCATGTGAAGTTAGGGTTCTTAAGCTGGAGTCGAGCTGACAGATGCCCTGTTTTGGGGGAGACGTGAGCTACGAGAGAAGGTTAGCTACTGGCAGTGATCGAGCCGCTGCCTGAGGGAACAGAATTCCCACCCGGCTGCAGCCAGTGAGGCTGAACCACTGCTGCTAGCTGCAGAGTTGCAATTAATAAAAAAACAACATTTAGTCTTACAACTCTTAAGCTCGTTGGGGATAAGAGAGATGGGATGAAAAGGTCAGGTGCTAACTGACAGGCAGATGTCACCTCGCCGATTACTGAACTGCAGTATCAAGCTGCGTGTCCCCTTTGCCTCCCAGACTTTGAGAAGAGGCTCCTAGAATTCACCTGTATTTAAGTGTAATTCGATGGCTCCTTTCCCATACTGACTTTGAACTCTATTATCTGAATTGAGGGACCCAGCCAATACTTTTGAAAATTCCAAACCTGTCTGTCACTTCTAAATCATACCCGGTAACAGCCCCGGCCAGGAGCATGCAGGCATGTCTTTCCCAGTGAGTGGATGCTTAGGGAAACATCCTCCACAGTCACTGATGTGACTTAGCAGTCACATCAGACAGTGTTCACTGGGCCAGTGCAGTGCTACCTGGGCGTTTGTTAACAAACTTGACTATTGAACTTCCTTTGTTGGAGGAGAGCACTGATTTAGAAGTAACTCTGGGGCTATCTTCAGCCAATAAGGAGATTCTCTTCAAGGTTTTCAACACAGACTGAAGACACAGCTCAGCCCTTAGATGCCCATACTGTACTTGAGGACCAAAGTTCAGTTCCCAGCGCTTACAGCTCACAAACACCAGCAACTCCAGCTCCAGAGGAATGTGAAGCCATTGGCCTCCATGAGCACTGAACTCAAGTGCACAAACCCCACCAACCCCCGCATAATTTAAAATAAGTATTTTTTTTAAAAAAAAATCTTTTCGCTGTCCCTCTTCTGAAGAGGTAACTACTGTCTCTCCTCCCCATCTCTCTCCCCCTCTCTCTGCCTCTCTCTCTTCTCCCCCCTTTCCCCTTAGCGCTTCCCTTTCCCCTCCATAAGCCACTAAATTAACTATACCAAAACTCTCAAAAAAAAAATGTTTTCAACAAGAGATGTGACTGAACAGGAGGGGGAAAATGAGAAAGCAAGTTTTTGTGGGCAGTCATCTATGAGAATCCGCGAAGAAGGAAACCTATTGTGGTGTTCCCATCTGCTGTCTTTATGGTGACTGTGGGCATTCCCAAAAGAGTTCTTGTCTGCCATTTTAACCTTTCAAACGTGTTCCACGACCTTAAGCTAAGCACCACCCCAATGTGTCTTCCGTCTCTCCTTCTTGAACTGTTATCTTAAACTGTTCCGTAATGTGTTTGCCTTGCACTACTCTCCGACATGAGTATTTACAGATCCCCAAATGACCATGATCCTTTTGTTTGAGGAGTGCACTGTTTTGGAATCAAACCCCATGATCTCGCTCACTGTAGCTAATAAAGTCTTTCTCCACTCCTTACAAAATAAAAAATAAAAACCCCACAAACTAATTACCAGAGCCCAGCACACACCCACTGTTAGAATGTCTCCTAGGGGGCGCTGGAGAGATGGTTCAATACTTAAGAGCAAGTGTTGCTCTTGCAGAGGACCCAGGTTGAGTTCCCAGCTCCCACGTGGTGGATCCCAACAATCTGGGGTTCCAGCTCCAGGGGACCTGATGCCCTCTTCTGGCTTCCTCGGCTACCAGACATGCTTATGGTACACATACAGGCCAAACACTTATACACATAGAACAAATCTGAAAAGAAGAGCTGTGGGGCTTCTCAGATTTTAACCAGATGTTTTAACCAGATTTCTGGATGCTTTTGAGATTCCATGAAATCTGAGTGACACTGAAGCCATTGGGGACCTGACATCAGAGACTCTGTCCAGGTCAGATGGCTCAGCTGTGCTCCAGATAGATTTGACTTCGTCTATGTGTAAAAAAATAAACTTAATTCTGACTCTGCTCTTTTACCGTATTTGCAACCACTATTGTCAAATGGCTTACAGTTCATTAAGAAGAAACATGACTTATTTATGCTTATATCATATACGTCTGAATCACTTAACTCAGTAGTAGGCTTGTGTGAATGCCTCCTGTATCCCACACCATGAACCATGGGATGGTATCATTTTTCCAGCTCTGTTGGGAGCATCTCTGCAGTCCACCCACTGGAATAGAAACCATGCCTGTGTCTATCTTTGGCCATGCCCAAGGGCAGAGCCTTGCAATATGACCTTCAAATCACGGTAATAAGAGGGCCTTTGCTTTAGTTAGCCCATCTAATCTGGGCTGTAATTTAAAGTTGGACAGATGTCTAAGAACACTTCCTTTTGGAAAATCTAAGTTTTCTTTATGGTAAAATGTCAAGGAAAATGATATCTCTGATTGATAAAGCCACCCACACTCCAGTGGATAGGGCTACATACACCCATCATCCAGAAAACCTAACTCGATGACCTAGGAAACACGGTCCCAGTTGGAAAGGGGCTTTTTTTCCCCCATGCCTGTGCCCACACCTT